TGTCGAATGCCTGCAACAAACAATGGATTAGTAACAAGAGAAAGGACGAGTATGAGACGCGCGACCACCCTCCGCGACGGTTCACGAGAAAGTGAGGAAGCAAGCACAGACCTGCACGGGATGGTACAACCTTGGTACACGGCGTACACGGCTAAGTCAATAAACTGGGTGACGCAACTCACTAGCGCGTTGGACCGACGGAGAGCACCGATACCGTGGCACGCTCTACCGTACCTCTCTTTCTCGTCCACCTCCCTCATAGACCCCTGAAATTGCTCGGCACGCGTCAACACTGACGGAGAGCACCGATACGGCGGCTCGCTCTACCGCTCTCACTCGCACGCCGTGACGTCACCCGATTCCCGGAATCCCGCGGCTACGAGTTGGCTCATTACGGTAAGGCGTCTGTACGGTAAGTGCAACTGTCGAAATCTGACTGACACTTGTGCGTGCTTCTATGAGCAAATTATATATAGTAACCCCAGCAATCATGGCAGTTTCTGCAGATACTACTACAGCCCAGGTTTAAAATACGTAGTTAGTTTTTTACAGTAGTTAGTTTCTGTAGTAACCTGTTGAACCAAACAACTATAATTAGTATAGGATTGTACAATATTTATGCAGTTATATTTAAGACAATTCGATGAAATGAAGCTTATATTACCTGACGTATATTTACTGAAATATACATATATACATATAAATTATAATGATATAATATTTAACAAGTTAGACAATAACAATTCATTCATCACCAGTTATAAACACCTGTGTATGACAAAATGATCGCGAAGTTCGTTTCAAAATTGGCTGCAGACAAAAAAATGTTCCATAATGTCAATAATATTGATTTCCCCGCAACGTCCATAATTATTACAAATGTCAATATAACGAAATATCTTTTATGCGATGTTTATGGTATAATAAAAATCTGTGTTTCGATTATCACTCGTCAATACTTTTTGGGAAGGATGCTGAACGATGTTTTTAAACGAGTGAATACGTTAATTGCTTATCGTTCAAAGCTTCGCCCAATAGGATAATTTCTTTATTCCTGAAATACTGAATATTGACTTACTATATGTTTTATGTGCATTGCATATTTTAAGTAGTAAGTAAACAGCTATTCTCCCGACTTTTTCTGCATTTGGGTCAATTTTTAAACGCTTATAACTAACAAACGAAGCATTTGTCGCAATTTCGTTATTCTTGATTTTCGTCTTATTTTGCCTCAAAGAATCACCCCTTAAATTCTTTCCCACTAGTAGTCGAACACCCTGTATATATTTCGTAACTGAACATTTTTTAGAATTATTTCACATTTTTCAACGAGTCGAGTATATAATTCTTGAAATGTACTTACCCGAAATGAGATCAGCT